TATATTTGATTTATGACTTACAAAGTCCATAGGAAAAACCTCAGGGCAAGTCAATTAGTTCTAATGCTTGGGATAATGAGGTAGGCAGGAGAAACGAAGTGCTATTTTCAGTGAGTCTAATACTGCTTCAAAATAAAAAGGTTAAAATTAAGTTGTACCAATGCAGAACAAGGAGATGGAAGCCACGCCTACTGAATGAGGTTTTTCATGCTCAGTACTAAGTAGGGAATATAAACAGAACAGAAAAAAAATTTCAACCCATTTTCTTCTCGTTCTTGTTTTGTTAGCAAAGTTTAACCCTACCACTGACACAATGAGACAAATGGCAGTACCACAGGAGGTACCTAGGTGTTTTTCAGTACAGGAAAATGTTCGATGATGCTTTTTTCCAAAGGTTCATCACGAGGATGAAATTTCTGGTGTACTGAAACATTGACAGCCCATCGTGAATACTATTATTGCGTCCTATGATCAACAATCGTTGCTTCTTTTCCTCCTGCTCTGTTCCCATACTTATACACAGAAACCCACATACCTTTTTTGTTGTTTAACCATTTAAACATAAACTAAAGTCACTATGACACTAGTAAATATATGTTCTAGTGTATTTAAGAGTTTTGAAATGTAGTTACGTACATAGAAAGCACATGGTGCTATAACCATGTAAATTTAAAGTATTTTCTTAACATAATTACATGTTAATTCCCACAAGGATATTTTATTAGGAAAAATGTCTATTGATCTAAACATAAGACTTGCTGTGAGCTTATTGTCAGCTCTAGCTCTGTACCATTTGGATTATCAGCAGAATATGACAGACTCCATGAGAACCAATGCTTTAGTATCTATTGCTCTGGGATAAAATGATAAGCATTTGCCTATCACCCAGGGATTTGAGTATGTGACAGATTCTCCATGAGGATTAGAGGTTTTGAATAGGATATAATTCTCTTACAGATAGTATAAATAAATAATTCCAAAAATATTAAGCTATGAGAAAGGAACTTAATATTACCATAAAATGATTTAGGATAAATTCCAATAAAATGTTTAAATAGATTATGAAAAGTACAATTAATGTTATTTAAAAATTAACTCTAAAAAGAGATAACAAATATTTTACTTGGATAACAAATACTTTACTTTATCTAGTAAGTTAATCACTTATAACAGTGCTTCTCAACCTTCCTAATCCCTCAACCCTTTAATACAGTTCCTCATGTTGTGATGACTGCCAACCATAAAATTATTCCGTTGCTACCTAATAACTGTAATTTTGCTACTGCTTTGAATTGCTATGTAAATATCTGTGTTTTCCAATTGTCTTAAGTGACCCCTGTGAAAGGTTCAGCCAACCCCCCCAAGGATTGTAACCCACAGGTTTGGAACCACTGATTTATAAGCTAGGTAAATTTCTTTGTATTCATTAACATTTTTTATTTTTTTAATTATTTTTATTTTTATTAATTACAGCTTATTCACTTTGTATCCCCCTGTAACTCCCTCTCTCCTCCCCTCCCAACCTCACCATCCCTCCATCTTTCCCACCTGTGCCCCACCCCCAGTCTACTGATAAGGGAGGTTCCCCTTTCCTCTGATCCTGGTCTATCAGGTCTCATCAGGAGTGACTGCATTGTCGTCTTCTGTGGCCTGGTAAGGCTGCTCCCCCCTCAGAAGGAGGTGATCAAAGAGTACATTTCATATTAAAATGAAGGGCTCCCATCTCAGGGGGAGGTGATCAAAGAGCAGGCCAATCAGTTCATGTCAGAGACAGCCCCTGTCCCCATTACTATGGAACCCACTTGGATACTGAACTGCCATGGGCTACCTCTGTGCAGGGGTTCCAGGCCATCTCCATGAGTGGTCCCTGGCTGGGATATCAGTCTCAGAAAAGACCCCTGTGCCCAGACTTTTTGGATCTGTTGCTGTCCTTGTGGAGCTCCTGTCCTCTCCAGGTCTTACTGTCTCCAACTTCTTTCATAAGATTCCCTGCACTCTGCCCAAAGTTTAGTTATGAGTCTCAGCATCTGCTGATACCCTGCAGGGTAGAGCCTTTCAGAAGCCCTTCATTTTAATATGAAATGTACTCATCACCAAATAAAATACCAGACAGGCTATTTTTAAATTAACCTTAGACGTACTATCTGATAACATGATTCATAGAATTGTGTTACTGTGGGTGTAATCAGTTACGATGCGGTCATATGGAAAAGGGCAGGCTTTCCACACAGCAGCACTGGTATTCCTCCAAGATGAATGACAGTGTGCCATACACATACCCAGGGGAGGATGACATGAAGAAGTGTGAGGAAAAGTCAGCCATTTGCAACAGAGGCAGAAACAGGAAAGATGATCTACAAGTCAAGGCACGCCAAGAATGGATTACTCTCACCAGAGACCAGGCACCAAGCATGAGGCATGGAGTAGCTTCTCCCTCCCGACCTCAGAGGGAACTGTCTCTGATAACACCAGCTTTGGAAACCTAGTTTCCAGAACTGAAGAAAATAAATTTATATTCTTCTTAAGACACCAAATTTTGGTAGTTATTTCACTATCTCTATTAATTTAATATGGATGGATGGATGGATGGATGGATGGATGGATGGATGGATGGATGG